TTAACTTGAGTATTTTTGAGCAAAAATTCCTCTTGGGGGTTGGAAGGGTTATGTGATCAGTGAGTGAGGGAGTTATGTATGTGCGCGTGTCACACCGGGTTGTATCAAAGAACGAATCAAATTGCCTGTTAGAAAATAAGATGGTATCTACATTAATCTGGAGACATGTCAGATAACTGTAGTTTGTTCTGTCAAACATTTTATGGCTTACTATTTAGCTATCTTACCATGACCGATGTAACATTGCAACCAAAGAAAAAATGTCAAATTAACCAAATCATTACTGTACCATAAATGCTCCTACCTCCGACACTTCACACAAAAAAATAACTCTTGCACGCCTTGCGTGCCTATGTTTCTAGTATTGCCTTTGATAAACTTACTATCAGCCACTGCAAAATGTAACATGGACAAATGAAATAGTGCAGGTGATTAGGCATAAATAGGGTAAGATTGGCCTGTCATATCTTCTTAGCGAGCAAGGTGACCTATATTTTGTGTTGTATTTTCGAAACAGTGCATGGTAGGGAACCTTCAGGGAAAGTTTCAAAAAAAGTGTTCAACAACTTTACGTCAACAGGATGTTTTTTTTTGAGGGGGGGGGAGGGGGATAGAGGAGTTGAGGCAAGTCAATTTTTGACCTTACAGAAGGCTTCCTTTTATTTTGTTCATAGTTGTGTGTGGTTTGTCATCTAACATCCAGGAATTTGACTGTGTGGTTGTGCAGTACTCTTTGAGTACAGCTTTTGGCCTTCAGCCTTGGTCGATGTTTAGAACTTGGGCAAAGTTTTAGCTGATACATGTACTTGAAATTAATAACACTTCTGCTAATGTTCCAGTTTTAAGTATGGTTGTATGATAGGATAATTTCACAGCTGAACATTGTTTGTCATATTTCTTTACAGGGTATTTAAAAAACATGCATCACGCAGAGGACACAGTGTTCATCATTCATGTTAGTGAGCTGACTCATTCTGGTTCAATTGGTAAGTCGCATATGAATGATTCATTCTTTCATGGTGACTAATATGCGTTTTTTCCTCTTGGGTTTGAGCAGTAACATTATTTACTTATTTAACCACAGTTGTTACAATTTCACATTCTGTTCATATAAACAGTGAAATATTATAGGTTGCTTTATCAGCTGATATTAAGCCCAAGGTATCAAATAATAAGGTTTGTCCAATTAATAAATTGACGTCAGTTTTTCATGTGTCTGTCCTGCTAGTGATCATGTATTATTTTTGTCATAACATTGTCATGGATCCAGAGACTACTTTGACAAAATTATGTTAGGACACAATTCATTTTCAATAACAGGACAGATGAATGAAAAACTGATGTCAATTTGTTTTTTACAATAACAAGTTGTCAAATTGTCTGTGCTTGTTGACGCATCGCATAAATTATAAATTCATTTGTCTGTCCGCTTATTGACAATGAAAATTAGCCAATGATCACGTGAGAATTTCTGCAGTTATGGTACAAAACGTAATGGATCATTATGAAAATTGACTATAATTTCAAAGCCAAGGGCTTTTTTAGCTGATAGATCAGCAAATAAAACCGAAGAAACAGTTAACAGTATTCCCTAAATACCATGATGTAGCCCAACAGTACAATCAACAACCACTTAAGGTGACATTTTCCCCTCTTTCACTCCATCTCTGTTAGTAAGTGGATCTTTCATATGATGTTAATGCAGATCTACATGTACATTGTCTCTTATAAGTAGTATAAAGCATGTTAAGTTTTTCAGTCTCTGATTGAGCTACAGAATTAAAAATTCTGATTATTGAGAGGCAAGTCTCTTGAAATTTTGTGTAATGCAAGAGTGATAACTGAGACAACAACTTAAAGGGGAATGCAGAATGTATGTAAGTACATGTATGGTCCCTTGAAGGCCTTTGCTAATACTCTTTAGCAATGTTTGGAGTGGGCCAGCTGGCGTATACCATGATGCCTTCTGTGCTCAAAGTGTTTTGTAAATGAGGCAAAATGTAAATACCAACTATTGAAAACCCCAACCAATGTTCTTTACCTCACTGAACTTGATTTTGATTTTCAGTTCCATTTTTGACTCATTCTGTAGTACTCTGGCAAAACTATAGCAATTTTATAGGCAACACAAGTAAAGTCCTTGCTCCTTTCATCTTAAGCAACAAAATGCATTTGCTTCACTTCACAATAATATTTTTCAGAGTACAGCACTCTAGCCATGGGCACTGAGTGAGAATTAACTTTAAGATATCAGTGAAGTAATGGACCTTTTTAGCAAGATTACGGCCATTTTGAATTCTGTTGCTTCAAATAGCTTTTTGGGATGCTCAGGGGGCAAGTAAGAATGTATTTGCCTCCTGGGCATCCCATAATAGCTATTTGAAACAATAGAATTCCAAATGGCCGCCATATCACCGAAAAGGTCCACAATTCCTCATTGTTTAGAAGGTCTCTCTCTGTTTGTTGTTTGCGCTGGGTTAGCATTTACATTTACATGTCCTGGGTTATGTATTTGAACAGAAACCATCACCAAAGAAGATTGGGAAGCACATGTCAAAGATCACACAGAGAAAGTGAAGGAGGTCGAAGAGAAATACAAGAAAAAGTTGGGTGATGCAGGGGTATGTTTGACATGGTAAACAAGATACTTTTTGTCAGAACCACTTTACAGTGCATTTACTGAAATTGGAGCCACCCAGACAATGAAAACCAATCAGATGGCAGAACTGAAACAATAGAACCCAACATTTTCAAGTCCAGCCAAGCAAATGTCGGGTACAAAACAATGAAATCTCAATTGTTTGTTGTGATGCATACGAGACTACAGTGTCGCTTATCAATAAATTGTCAAGCTCAAACCGTTAGTACTTTCATGTGCTTGAATTATCAATGTTAGATCCAGTAAGAATGTTGAGCTTGTTAAGCAACATAACGTAAATTATCTCAAGGATTCATACATAGGGCTTGACCATTTCTCCATTTCTTAAGTCAACTTTACTTAATATTTAGTCATTAGTCATTTTATTGCGTTCGAGAGAATGCAGTTCTAATCGCGTAATGCAGAAAAATTTGATATCTAAGAATCTATCTGGGGACACCAATTTGCCCCCCCCCCCCCAAAAAAAAATTCTTTAGGGCTGAATGATGTCATGTCTATGTTCGTCCATGTGCTTTGTTTCAAGTGTTGTGCAATATTGCGGACTTTCGAGTGTCGAGGAAGCTTATTGTGGACTGTAGCGGATACTGAAGTTGTTTATTTAAAGTTCGAAGTCAATGTTAATGGGATTCAAAAACCTTGCAGACATGTCTTCACGAAATGTGTACGACTTTTCGTATGAACAGAAAGCTGTAGTTTGGCTGCCTGTTGTGTACCCTCTTCTCTTTGACCGAAACCAATGCTGCTCTCTGCTGAATAAATCAAAGGAGGAAATGAGTTTCACTTCGCTGGTCTAGATTTGTGTGCACAAACTATGTAACGTAAACCCAACAAAATTGTCTACAAAGGAAATGAGTTCAACTCCCACAGGTTTGCCTTGGTACACCAACATGTCCTCCGTTTCATTGTTTTGGAAGTGGAAATGCCCTGTAGCTGTTACCCCAAAGCCAAGGCGATTCAAAGTCATGTTCGTAAACAAAATAATTGTCCTAGTTTTGGTACTAAAAGCACGTCGTCTTGCATACCAATAGAACAAACATGGTTGGTGTCGATTTACACGGTCAGTATAAAACACGCACTGGGGACTGCGGACTGCAGACTACAGACTACGGACTGGGTGTAAAACACAGACTTATGTGTAAAACGAGGACTAAGCATTACGGACTGGGCATAAACTGCACGCGGACTCAGGTATTGCCCCTGCTGAAGGGAGACCAATTTCATGCCTACCTAACAGCTCAGGCACAAAATGCTTTCCCTAGAATTTTTGTTTTTTTAACATACTAAGCCTACCAAAACTTGAACGCACTCTTTAATCTATGATTACTACTAGTTCATTAGATTCTATGTATAGTGTAATTAGGACCACTAGTTTGTCAGTGCTAACTGTTGTGTTGTTGTTGTTGTTGTTGTTCTTCTTCTTCTTCTTCCTCCTCCTCTTCTTCTTCTTCCTCCTCCTCCTCCTCTTCCTCTTCCTCTTCCTCTTCCTCCTCCTCTTCCTCTTCCTCTTCCTCTTCCTCCTCCTCTTCCTCCTCCTCCTCCTCCTCCTCCTCTTCTTCTTCTTCTTCTTCTTCTTCTTCTTCTTCTTCTTCTTCTTCTTCTTCTTCTTCTTCTAATTGAATTACATGCTGCACTTTCTATGGGGTAGCTGCTTGGTTTAGGAAACATATGTAATGAAAATAAAGGTGAATGAGAGTGTCACTCATAAATATATAGCACCACAGTGAGTCACGGCTGTTTAAAAGAAACCCTTCAACTTTTGTTTTTGCCTGAGTGATTTTAAATGCTGAGACTGATAGTGTACAACGCGAAAAAATTTGTTTGAATTTTTGATGAAGATGTTATCTTAATACATCGATAACCCAGAAAGGGAGCTCAAACTCCGAAATGTACAGCTGCTGAGACAGTGAACGTGATAGTTTTTCCTAGAACTGTGTGGTGGATTTCACGGTTGGCTGCATTAATGACAACCAAAAGCTGTGTGAAAATAGGAACATGCAGAGACAACAGGAGCCAAATTTGTAAAAAAAGTGTCAAAATGTATTATTCTACGATTTTAAACAACGGTAAAGATGATATTTTGTGTGGCTGTATGTTCACAGTGGAAAATGGTCAATTTATCACGGTTGTAATTGCAAAATCTAAAGTAAAGTAACAATATTTTCTAACGCGAAAGTGCTAATGGGTTGAGCTTGATAATTCATTAACAGACACTCTAGTCACGAGCATCACAACGAACAAGTTGGGATTTCATTGTTTTGTACTGCACATTTGATCAGCTGGAATTGAAAATGTTGGAATCTCTGGTTTCAGTTCTGCCATCTGATTAGCTTTCATTGTCTGGGTGGGCCTGGTTTCAGTAAACGCACTGTAACAGTTGCACACAGGCTCTTTTATGTCCATCGTAAAATATTTGTGAGTAGGATTTCTTTCCACTCACTTAACCACTAAAGGTACCAGTAAGTTGTTAAGGTGGCTTAAAACAGTTTCCAGCCCTTAGATTTTGATGAGTCGTTATAACCACCCTTTATCACGTGATGTTACAATCATGGTATCAAAAGACTGTCCAATCATTGGTGAATGCGTTATAATTTTCGTGACACAATTGCTTACCACAGCAATTGTATGACCTGCTTAAAACATCCTTAATTACAGCTTTAGGGGCTCATAATTCAAAAACGGCATGGTGAATTTTTTTGAATATTATCAAATTTTGATAAGCGCGATAAGGTGCAACTTTTGGCAAAGTTCAAAAATTATGTACAAAGGGTTCACAGGCACCTTACATTTTTGAAAATTTAAGGTGGGAAATTGTCCTAGTAAGCAGAAACCGTCAAGATTAAAATGTCAGTTTTGATAATTTAGGCAAATGTCATGTTTTTCTTGATAACAAAAACTGTAGTTTGGTTATTTTGCTTGCAAACCTAATTATTCCTCACAACATCCAGAAGGCTTATGATTTTGTTTGCCACTTAGGTAAATCCTGTTTCTTGTAGAGTTTTTGTACATAATTTTCTGAAGAGGGTGTTTGCCCACAAGAACGAACTCAGATGATGTGCGCATGGAAAGTCTCATGGGAACTTGTCCTAGGTAGCACATTTTTGCCAAGATAGATGTTTTGCAGAGTTGTAAGAAGCATATTGTCACCGATTCTGTTTTTTTTTTAAGGTGTCATTTGAGGTAAAGCTATGTGGTGGTAAACCTGGGGAGGCCATTTGTCAGGTCATCAAGGAATGTGAAGTTGACCTTGTGGTCATGGGAAGCCGTGGAATGGGTGCAATAAGACGCACTTTTGTTGGGAGTGTTAGTGATTATGTTCTTCATCATTCACACATTCCTACCATAATTTGCCCAAAGCATTGATTTTCTGTATTGCAGATAGTTGCCTGGCAGTGGTTCTAATATTTTATAACTGCTGAGGTGATCAAAGTGATTTGTTTATCGGTGGCACTCTGAGCCCAAAAACAGTCATGTAACATTGTGTAGAAAAGGCTTCGATTCTCTAATAAACGTATCAAATTTTAATTTACTGTTCTGCAGTCATTCTTTTAAACACATCAAGTTGTCTGCTCTTTGACTTTATTTCAGTGCGTATTTGTTTGTACCAACTCTTGTCCTTGGTCCTCAGTTAATCTGAAAGAAAATGTCTACACAAACATACAGAGTGTATCTCTAAGCAAATGTGACATACCAAACTAAACACTCATCGAGCATACAAAATTATGTTGAGAACAATGTTTTAGCTAAGATAAAACTTCATTCTCGTACCTTTGTTTCTGAAGTTTCTTTTTTGTTAGTGGTCTGGAATCAGCAAGGAAAAAACCACTAATATTTGCATGAAATTCTTAGTAACAAATAAAACCCACAAGACCTGAGACAAGTCAAGACAAGACAAGTCAACCTAAAGGCTGGTCTTCACTAGAGCATAAGCACAAGCATAAGCATAAGCACAAGCATAAGCATAAGCACAAGTGAAAACAGCCACGACATAAACATAAGCAGAAGCAGAAGCAAAAAAAAAACGAACCCACTTATGTGTCTTGTGTGCAGTTTTCACTAGTAATGCGCTCGACATAAGCATAAGCACAAGAAAAACAGAACTGTTCGTTTTTCTTGTGCTCATGCTCATGCTTATACTTATGGCTAGCGGTAGTGCTCGTGGGTGGAGTTGCGCAAGATGGCGGCCATACTCCAGCTAATAGGTTGACAGAGGCATGCAGCCTTAGTTTATAGCATCCTTTGATATTGGACATCCATGTTATGGTCAACTGACACTGGTCAAAACAAGGTATCTGCTGATCAGTAACATGTGACCATATCACAGGCTCAGTCTTACAGCCAATAACATCATGACTAAACCGCTAAATATTTGCATGCCATCAACTCCTCTACAAATTTTAATTCCGAGAGGGTCAGAAACCAGTGGGTGCACTGGAAGGTTTTTGGTTGGGGTGTATGGCCTAAACCTTGCTTTACCCCATTTCAAACCAAAATCTGTCATTTTCAGTACCATATTTCAGATCCAAGCCAAAAATTGACACCGCATTTCAAACCTCAAAAATTTGAACAGGGCTCTGACATATGAACGGCAACTAACCAGAAATGGCTTGGAGAGAATTAGTTCCTTGTATACAAGCCAGAGTGAAAACACACTATTCCAGACCAAACTTGCACAGGCCACACAGACCTATATGGACCATATCATGGTGTACCCCTCCCCCTCCCCCGTGAGAAACCACTGATTGTAATTCATTTCCATGTAGCTTGCTTTGCCTTTCCGTCTTTGACGACACGAGAAGCTGCTGTCTGTGCCGTTCTCGATCGTGAGTCTGCTCTGCTTTCCAAAGCATCTTGACTGGCCAGTTCTTCATCATATCTGATGAATCAAAAGCCACAACCATTAGCAAAGTACTAATAGTCTGTGTTATCTATTTATACCAGATACATAACACATCAGTGACATAAAGCCCGGTTTCTTCAATGAATCGAAAGAGTTTCGATTCCCGATGTTTGGTTAGTTGGCCTGGGTGCAGCACAAATCAAGCCCTGCCCCTTAATCCCCCGTCTCTGTTTCTGGTGCTACATAAGCTGATTTTTCCCCCAAACCCATGGAGGTTGTAGTCAGCAGGAGGAGAAACAGAAATACTAAAAGAAGGTTATTTTGCAATATAAAGACAGTTTAACTACATAACTTTTCATTAGACAGCTATGCAGTTGATAATTAGCATTCACTTTGACCAGTAGAACTGAAGGTGAGGTCAAGGATCCCTACGACTAGGATAAGGTCTCAGCCCACTCATTGTACAACAAAGGCTGGTGACATCAAATTAAAGTAACTTACAAAACTTCAAAACTTCCCAAAGCATCTTTGGATGGTAACTTATTCCACCTTACACTGAAAAGTAAAGCACAGCAGACTTGATGAGTGAACAAAGACATCTGCAAAGTCCTTGTATGTAAATCTCCTGTAATTCTTGTTTTCTTTCTTCAATATCCTTCACTACTTAGCCTTAATAAGACTTGGTTTCATTGACTTGGCTTTACTATCTTTCACTTGCTTATCTTCATTATCACTTTACTTTATAATGTAAGGGGTTTTAACTTTACCAAAGACTTTGGCCTCCTTTGGACTCAACTTCACTTATCATTTAATAATTATATTCATTATTATTTCAATATTCTTCACATTTTTTTTTTTTTAATATGTTTTATTAATAACCTATGACATAACAATACATTGCAGTATATAACTTACTTACAAGTAATTATAGGAGTACAAAAAACAAAAGTGAGAACTTACGAAAAAAAAAAAAGAGATAAAAGTACAAGAAGAAATAAGTACGAGAAAGAAAATAAGACGGAGAACAGGTTCCTTTTTCTAAACTAATAGAGTTAATATCTACAATGGCCAGTAATGTGGCTCCTTTTTTTTTGGTTTTGTTGTTAGATCCATTTTGATATTCTATTTATTGTTAAGCGTTACAACTTTATCTGTTTCTTAGATTTGTGCTTCTCTATTTGAAGTTTACTTGCAAGGATGGCCATGAA